GTTGTTGGAGATGAAGTCTCACAAGGGATTGCAAAGCCCGCCTTGCATAAATTTTAGCTGAGACACCTATGGCGTCGTCGTGATGTCAGTCTCAAGCTTAAGGGCAGGGTGCACAATGCTTCCGTCCGTGCAGTACTCTTGTACAGCTGTGAGACTTGGCCTATTCGCTCGGAAGACGTGAAGCAGCTGTCAGTCTTCGACAATCGTTGTCTATGAAGGATTGCTCGGGTGTGATGGCAACACCACGCAAGCAACGCTAAGGTCTGAAACCAAGTGGTCTGAAGGAGCAGTACCAGTCATCTGAACGTTATTCTCCGACATCGCATGTGTTGGCTCGGACATGTTTTGCGCATGCCAGCCCATCGCCTTCCACATCGAGCGCTATTTACACTCCCAAAGAGCGAACGGAAAAAGTGCCGCCGTTGACAGCCAAGGACGTGGAGGAGGAGCATGAAGAAGGCAACAAGTTTGGCGGCAGTCGGACCAGTCCGTCTTCCAGGATGGGGACCACGAGATGCGGAATTGCAGCGATTAAAAACATTCGATGTCATTACCCGTAACAGAGATCGGTGGCGTTAATTTTGTTCGGCCGTTTGATTCTCCTGTAATGCACACAAAATCCAAAGAAGCAAAAATAAAAAACCAAAATAGCGTGTGAAAAGCAAAAAATCGTTTTCCTTTTTTTATCGCATTGCATTTTTCTATTTTCTCCATTTTTTGCTTTTGCCATGGTTCTGGTGGCACAATATCTGTCAACAGACTGTGATCCTAATCATTTCCGGAGTCAAGGAACAAACAAATGACCGATTAACAAATTTAAAGCAGGAAAATGGCACTTTCGATTGTTGTGGCGCCGGCACGACATCAGACTGGCATTGAAGAGCAGAATTCACAACGTAGCTGTACGCCCAACCCTTCGGTACGGTTGTGACAGTTAAAGAAGCTAGGTACGTTCGACCATCGCCGCATTCGCAGCTCAGCCCATGTTTGGTGGGGCCACGGCATGAGCAATGAGCGTCTTTAGCGTTGCGTGTTTGGTGCAAAAAGAGCGGATGAACCGGCCAGCACCGTTGGCTCACGCACCACGCTCCGATGGCTGGGCCACGTGTTGCGTATGCCAGTACACCGACTTACGCAAAGTGCTTTGTTTGCGCGCCGGGGATGCGGTTGGAAGAGGAGGAGGGGAGGCCAAGCGTTGACGTGACCAAGAAGTATGAAGGCTCTCACTTCTAACTTGGCCTCAAATGGTGACTCCCGACTGCCTGGCTGAAACCGAAGGACGATGAATAAACTGGTGGATACACTAGCTATAACAGACAAATTAACTTGTTCAACCTATCTGGAGATTTGCCCTATTCACTGACCCCAAAACGGCCAATCACTACTCCTTGATTGCTTATTTGATTTTGCACGATAAAACCTGAGTTACTTTGTTTCTCGTTCATATTTGGACCTTGATTAACCGCAAGAGTTTATCTGTTTTGCATCGCTCAATGGTTAAGCATGCTACTCTCACTTTCTGTCTTACTCCTTGTGCGTGTTATACGGCCCAGTTAGACACTCAGCTTCATTAGTCTGTACTGGTCCCCTCCTACTTCCTTTGTTTGCCTGACCAAACTCTCATCCAGACATTCACACTTACTCTCGTCCATTGCACATGCCATTGCCTGAGTGAGTAGGCTAGACTCGCTCACTACGCCGGCGTTCCATGTGCACTGCGCATTGGCTGATCGATTGACGGTTGATCACTTTGCTTCAAACTACGCTGACATTAGAACCGCTTCGCTTCATTGTACTTATCTGTTGACCATTGCAGTTGGCGGCACGTCGCCTTTGAGAACCGAACTATTGTACACATTTGGTCTGGAAAACGTTTGAGGTTTGTCATTAAATTGTTGGCTAACTATTTGTAAATAGCACCTTAGCTATTCCGGCTTTGACTTTTGGATTAATCAGGCTGCTCTAGGAGTTGTTCAGGTTCCAAGACCGATTTGTCGGTAACACTAGTCGACATGGTGAAGAGTGGACTCCAGTGGCGTCTGTGTTGTGAGTATCTCTGTCTCTTAGCCTACCGTTTGGTCTCCCGCCCGGACCATGACCTCACTACTAATGCATAATATTAGAAGAAACAACAAAACATAACATAATTTGTTTTTGATTTTACTTATTTTTCAAGAGTATGGAATCGTGTTGCACTACGGCACAACAGCTAAGACAGTTATCATCTCTAGCTAACGTGTATGATGGTGATGACGACGGAGCATAAATGTAATGACTTGCCATTGAACACATTAGGAGAGTGGTTGCCTTCGACCATCAACGTCCATACAGCATCACTTATATATGGTGGGGCTACCCAGTGAATGAATGCTAAGCAACAGGTCAGGTGCAATCGAACTAGATGATCCGCTGATCTTGAAGAAGAAATGTTGGCTGATTGAATTCTTCAGACGTTTTCCGACAACCTACCTCATGCGCACCGTTTGCCGCTGCCATGCAAAGTTGGCCAAAATCGTGAGGCCAGTAGACGAAATGGAAGTGAGGCATGAATAACCTGACTGAGGAATATGTTCAGACGGTACACGTGCTGCCTTCCCGGAGAGCGGAGGGCATCGACATAGGTAATGTCGGTGATGGAAGAGTTTATCAAGCATGGTATGGTTGCGAAGCCAAAAACGCTCCCGTATATGTTTTTTGCATCAAGCTGTTAATATCGCAATCGGAATAGGCTATTTACACAATTTGCTAATTATTATTTCATCCCATCAGAGTCTTCTCACATCTTTTCTCTCATAACTGGAAGTACAATGACGACGTATGGACCATAGTTGTTTCATTGTGGTGAACTGAACAAAGCATCGATGGGCTCTTGCCGCTGTTACAACTGCTGGTGCCCACATTTGTTCTACGGCTTCGTTACTGGCATGAGCTGGCAAGCAACTAAAATTGTTCGCCCTATGAATGCTGTTATCGGCAAATTGTGTTCCAATGCCATATGCAAATTACCGGGGATGTCAGTGTGGGGAGGAGCAACAGCGAACCACCTCCAATGCGGATACGGTTCTTGTGATCGTAATGACCGAGGTCCACCTCAAGTGAGCCGAGGTCTCAAAAGAGGTTGCTTGTAGCAACCCAACCACACATCGGATTCTCCAAGTTCAACTTTGAATTCGTTTCCGCTGTACCAAGTGTTGCTCGCGGATCTCAGTTGCATAGTGCTTATGGCGTCAACCATGAGCCACTAGGCTCTGAGTTCCAGCCCAACTCAGGCTATCTCGAACTGATGAGTCCCAACCAGGACGAAACCGCGGTCTTCGGGTGCCAGTGTCGGGATGAGCAACACTATAATGTTTCCATTTTACTTACGGTCTTTGTGATCGGAATGACCGAGGTCCACCTCAAGTGAATCGAGGTCTCAATAGAGGTTGGTTGTAGCAACCCAACCATCAGCGGATTCTCCAAGTCCAACTTTGAATTCGTTTCCCCTGGAACAAGCGTTGCTCGCGGATCTCAGTTTCATAGTGTTTATGGCGTCAGCCGTAAAGCACAAGGCACTGACTTCCATCCCAGCTCAGGCTATCTCCATCTGATGAGTTCAAACAAGGACGAAACCATCGGTGGTAGAGTGTCAGTGTTGGAAGAAGCAGCACCGAATCATTTGTACATCGGGGCCCAAATTCATCACATGTAAAATATACGTTCATAGTAATTTCGCTGCATCACAAGCAAATTCCACGACGTTTGTTTACACCCCATATCCCAATTATGATCCATTTCCTCAAAACGTGAGCCCGACAGGTTCAAGCATCGGTTAAGTAGAAAAACATCATGTGTCAATTGGAATTGAACCAGAAATCTCATTCGCACCTTAAATTATGGTGCTCACACTAGCGGGAGTTTCCCGTGAAGTTAATTAGGCTGATTATATATATATATATATATGTATATATATATATATATATATATATATATATATATATATATATATATATATATATATGCATACTCGGGACCACTACCGAAGCGACGACGAGTCCTGCAGAGAAGTATTCAGAAACAGTGCAGCGTTTGTAGGCACGCTGCATTCAATTTACTAACCGTGTGCTTGCATGCTAAGTCCTTTTATTTCAGGTGGTGGGTTTTCAATTTTGCCCTAATGTTTTTCTTTCTCATATAAATGTCTACCTGTACTCTATTCCATTAACTTGCACACCTCACTTAAGCCAATTGTAGTCGATTTCCATAGCATTTTTGTGTTCGTGGCATCCCGTAAAGTATACTTTCTGACATCGTGAACTTATCTAGGATTCGTTTGTAAACAACTTATTTCATATGCTAATTAACTTAAGGTTTATGTCACCGTTTCCTTATGCATTAATCGAGTTATTTTCTTTGTCTCTCTCTCTCTCTCGAGTGATTGGCTGTTGTTTGATATCCCCGGTGTGGCTGCGCTTGATGTGTATGTTGACAAGGTGCCTACCTGTCTATTACCCACTACCTCGTCCATACTGGCTCCAGGAGACAGTTGGTCGTTGCTGGAGGGGACGGGGTGCACGGTCCTTGTGGCCGTGTTAGGCTCGAAGAGTGGTTCCATGCACTCAGTGTGGAGCGGACTACGGTCCAGCCACCGCCTTGTGTGCGATTGGTTCCCAAATACAGCGTGCTTGTGTTTGCCTGTGAAGGAGTGTGGGCCGGCTCCGTTGATGAAACGTTGCTCCCATCCACACGCATCCCGGTCTTATTCCTTCGGGTTTACACTGGATATGGGGTGTGTGGTTGGAGCTGTGGGTGGTGCAGCGCAAGCCATCCATGGTCCCTCTGTAGGGGCAGGCGTCCTGTGGCTTGCCACAGTGACAGGCAAATCCGAAACCGGATGCCGCCAACCATATATATATATATATATATATATATATATATATATATATATATATATATATATATATATATATATATATATATATGTATCCAAGCGGAGGATAATCATGGAGATAATTACTTACATTTCACCATTATATTTCTCCATCTCATCGGGAGATTCGACGGGCACATCACAATCGGCTCCGTAAGCTGTGGAATAGGGAATACAAGACAGATCCGTCATCACCATTGGAGGTGCGGTCGAAGTGCTGGCCATGTCGACACCGGTTAAACGCATTTCAGCAAAGTGACTGGATATCATAGCTTCGTTAATGCGAACTTTTCGGGGCGGCACATCGCTCTCTGTGACCTCGGGGGGTCTACAAGAAAAAAGTAATAAGAAGATTACGGGGATTGGTGGTTGTTTCCGTGGGGTATGACTCGCAGGCAACAAGGCTAGCAACAAGATCGAAATTGCAATGAGACTGGACCTTAAGGTGGTGCGATACTTTGCTTGCATCAACGACCCCCTGAAATATGCTGGTTGGCTTCCGGAAACTGGAGCCAGACTAACACAGTTTCTTAGTCTTCCAAGTTAAGGGCTGAAGTGATGGTGACTCCTTATTCCGTAAAACGGACTCTCGGTAGCTCAAAGTCAAACACTCGCTGCCTTGCGGTTAGACTACGATTGAAAGCCTTAATCATTCACCGGTTTAGGTGCGGGCAACCAAACAGCATCTAGTCCCTTCAATCCAATGAGCTTGACAAGCAATTTCCTGACGCTCTGGCCGTCGCAGAGGATAATTAGTGGCACTCTATCGGCTGCACAGACTACGGTAGATAGGGATGAGGAGACTATTACTCATGGCTTCTCGTGTTCCTACTCGCCAACCTAAGATTTTTCAACCTCAACATTCCGTACGAACTTCACGATTATCCGCTGTGTTAAATCCCATTGTCAGTTTTGTTTTGTTAAGCGTTGGTCTTCTGCCTTTAATTCATAGGCAATAGCGGAGTGTCAGTTCCCCTTGCTGACAGGTTCATTCGATACTAGAGATCGATTCTCTCTCAGATTCTCTGCGCAAAATGGCTAACGTTGCGAAACAAGTTAGAAACATCTGGATAGTTAGAAGAAATCAGTTAAAATGATGTTATGAAAAGGCATACAAGAAAGAAAGACATCAGCAGTACGCCGTTACGCAATACCGACGCTTCGCTGCTGCGCAACCACCGCCAGTCGCACGTGATCTGAGGATACTGCGAAGGTCGCCCTGTCCCTAAGTAGCCTCGAACTCGCGCCGCAAAATTACAAGAAAAGCGCGTTACCTATAGGTTAGGGGCCGGCCTGTAAAAACTCAACCTAGGTTTTGTCTCAGGGTATTAATTCAGAACATGTACGACTTTAAGCTGAACGACGCAGGTGCTGAGCTACTTAGGTTAACTGGCAAGCTAGACTGACCATACGGTTGTGGGCAAAACTAGCTAGGTTCTACCGTATGAATCTGACTCACTAAGGTAGTGAAAGATATAAGCTGTACGGAACGCTAGGAGAAAGAATGGTGAAAGATAGCGTTCAAATAGAATGGCCCTAGCAACGAAAAAAGATGTGAGAAAGACGACATATCAGATGAGCAAAGTGATGAACAAGATCGCTGAAATTACAACAAAGGCATTGTTGTTCCAACTACCCCGCCTGTGTAGGTCAGATGCAATTTTCAAGCAAAAGTGTGTCAATGACTAGTTGGATGGATGGTTATAAGCTTAAGCTGGAACATCAAAAAGCCCGAACCGATCCGGATAAATAAAGTGGAATAGGTATGTGTCTACGAGAGAAAGTCACGTATTTTTCTTGAGATCTAATGCTCTAACAACCGCAGTGAAGTTGTCACATGGGATTGGCTCGGGGCGAAGTGAACTTAAGCTGCTACCACCCTTTAGGACAGAGTTGGCGAACGCCATCTGGACTGAATGAAATAGGTTAGGTGAGCAACAGATAAAAGCATTGGCCCACGCTGAAGCATTACGAGAAACTGCAGATCCTTGAAGCGAGAAGTCACCAACATCGCGAGGAGGCTGGATCGCAACGTAGTGCGACAGTTTACGCACCTTTTCGACCCATTGTATTAGGAGTGAAGGTGAGCTCAGGTGTTTGGAAAGCCAAATCCATCACATTTGTTAATGGGTTCAAGTCAGAAGAATTCGGTCACTTGGGAATTTGGAAGGAGGGGATGACCGTTTCTTTAAAATCGGATTGGATTTTCCACAAGTCTCACGGAGAAACTTATCTAACATCCCCTTCCATTGACTATGAGACAGTATCTCAGCACTCAGTCTAGCAGAATCACCAAGACACCCAAGATGCCAAGCGTTCGTCTAATTTCTCCAAAGACATCGAACATCAAGAGAATAGTATATCGGTCGCGATGCACAGTGCGGGAGTCTCTACCTGTGACACGGTCAGCTATCATCGTTCCAGACAATGGATAAATGAGAAGACTATGAACTAGTTAAAATTTAGAAGAGCTATTGGCACGGATCAAAACGGAACCTGCGTGCTGATGAGGGAGTTTAGTAGACCAATAGGACTCAGGGAACGGAGGAGACAGGAACATTGGATAGATGTGGTACCACAAACTTTGCATCAATAAGACAATCCAAGATATGAAATAAATGAGAATATCCGTAACTCCGGGTTTGGATGAGGGTTTTGAGCTGTTTTCCGAGCTGAGTGATTATTGCGCAGACATTTCGTTGGTTGCCTAGGCAACATCATGAATGCGGCTTCAGGGGCCTGGTTCGCAGTGTCTCGTAAGCACTGCAAACCAGGCCCCTGAAGCCGCACTGATGATGTTGGCTAGTCAGGAAACGAAACGTCTGCACAATAATGACTCAGCTCGGAGAACAGTTCAAAATCCACAATCAAAGATAGCATCGGAGTAGCGATTCGCAATATAGAGCGTAATCTAACTAGCCTGGCGGAGCACTTACGAAGGTAATTCAAGAGGCGTCCTCCTTCTGAACTTCTTGGTACTCAGATGATAGGGGTCAAGCATGGCCGAGTCGGAGGCTGAGGTTCGAAATACTACCACAGCTTATAGCCGTTTTCGCGCTGCAAGTCCGGAAACACTTGCACCCGAGCAACTCAGAGATGTAGGCTAGGTCCTCCGTAAAGCCCCGACACATGTTCTTGAGCAAGTGTGCCAAAAGTGATCAGTTCAGCTAACTGCAGTGAATCAGGCGTAGTGCCAATAAGGAAAGAAGAGCAGGCGCACATTTTGGCTACTCATAGAAATATTAGCATGACGACAGTTGTGACAAAATTACTGAAGAGGAACCCCAGCTGAGAAGAAAACAGTCTGGTTTCTGTTCTAGACTAGGCTGTATAGACCTCAGTTGCAAGTGTCAAAATACCGTCACACGTAGCAGAGACAGGCAATAACTGTGGTCCTCTATTACAAGAGTGCATTCGACTTAGTCGATCGCTGCATTCTCTCCAATGTGTTTACCAATAATGGTGTCCAAGTCAAATATGTGAAGCATATACTTGAACATCACAGGCCGCGTCATGAACTACGGCGTTCGTCAGGGTTGTCGTATATCCACATTTCTGTTCAACTTTGTAGTGGGTGCCATCATGGAATGTTTCCTCAAGGAATCACACGATGCAGGTGTTGAGGTGCCGCCTGGTGGAAAACTAGTTGAACGTGAGTATGCGGACGATATTTCCTATTGGACAACCTTGGGGTGGCCCAGTCAACTCTAAATAACTCTAGAGTGGTAACGTCAACTGGCATTCGTTTCGCACGTACAAAGTACAATGTCATTGCAGGATCACCAAGTGCTTAGGAAATTCGGAGCTGCATTCTCAAAGCTGCGACAACAATGTTGCCAGTTACAATGACCTAAAGGCCGTGCATACAAGATAACAGTGGGGGCTGCGCCTCTGTTACAGAAGTGAGACCTGGTCCCTTCGGAATGAGAATCTGGAGCGTGTTCAAGTCTTTAATCATCCCTGCTCCAGTGACACCGCTGGTGTCGGAGAACACCAACACTTATGCAACGATAATGTACGCATGCGATTAAAAGGCGGAAATGGTGAGGTTAATTTTCTGGAACAACAAATAATGTTAAGTCACATTGATGTGGGCAGGTGCCACGTAAACCAGATCACCGTTTACCGAGGAGCTAGTAGTTCAGATTGCCAGATGTAAAAAAATGTCAGCTGTACGCCGTAACGACGCTTTGCTGCCACGCGTGGGGTGAGTATACCGCGAGGACGCCCGCACCTACGCGGATTCGAACCGGTGACCTTACGATTGCAAGCCAGGCGTGCAGACCACTAGGTCACCGGCCGACCGATTGCCAGATGTAGAATGACACAAGTCCCGAGGTGTATAAAAGTTAACTCGGCAGCGGAGAAATAAAGTCATTGACTACAAAACTGGGTGCTGTTGGCCCATCAGCCTTTCCAGGCTGGAGTCCACATGACTCGCCTTGTGCTTAGCTCGAGACTATACAAGACATGGCTAGCAGTCAACATGGCGCGTATCGCGTAGCTCCCTAATCGGACTGCCTGTTTAGGGTGTGTCTGGTTCTAAGTTATCTGCGGGGAAATAAGTGATTTACACGCAGCGTGGTGAAAGCCGCAAGGCAGTTGTCTCGCTGATGACGTCTGTTAACAGTAAGATGTAGGCGCCCTGAACCGGAATGTTTAGATGGGTCATTTAGGTCCCCTGCATCCCCCTGTTATTATTCCTCATGCTCCAGCGAAGAAGCGGATCAACTTACTGATGTGATGATGACGAGAAGGATATTTAACTGCGTGCTATAAAGCAGACATTAATGGGATAACTGAATAATAAGTAGAAAAAGAGCTAAAACTCACTTTAGCTTGTGTTTTTCACTAAATGTCAAGTTGGAACCTGATGGGGGATAGGATGAAGCGCCAGTGAAATTAAATACAGATTCCTTCGTTTGTTGTGAATAAAAATCACTGTTGGCTCCGCGCAAAACATCGAAATTTGCCAACTGAGACCGACAAGTATCACCAATCACAGGCGTGAAGAAGCTTGACATGTGACTATATTTTTAACATGCTGAAGAAAAGAATTGAAAATAACTAGTGAGGAATCGCGAGTTACGGAAACCCTAAGAACAGGATGGTGGACATGAAAACGAATAACAGATATACATATTATGTGTATTAGTATTATTATTCGAAAACCTCATTGGGAACTGAATCGATAGGTCGCCCGGAGGATTTGTTTTGCTATGGTGAAAAGATCGAAATTTGGACCAGGCATTAGCAGTACGGCGGTGCGCGCAGTATCGACGCTTCGCTGCCACGCATTCACCACCGGTTGTACGTCGGCTAAGGATACCGCTACGAGGGTCACCCAGTCCCCTACGCAGGTTCGAACCCAGGCCCTCACATTACAAGGAAGGCTTGTGATCCTTAAGGTTTGCCATAACGAATATTAGGAAATCAAACCAGTAAAGACGGTGCGTAACAAAATCGGATGACAGGTACCCAGAAAACAAAGGTTCTAGGAAGTACAGGTTACGGAGCGTTCGCACTTAAGCCCACAGAAGTGTAGATGACACGAGGTTCCCTCTATAACCCGGTCCGTTCGATGAAACGGTTTTCGAATGAAAAGACAAAAAACAAAAGCAGGAGAGAAACATGAGATCCGCTGATTATAACCGATGTAGGTGGGAAAAGGTAATTTTTTACTGTTGCGGCCACTATGAAGGACAGAACGCTGGGAGACCGCGGGCGCCAGCCGTGTGCTTCAAGGATTTGTGATGCGCCAAGGACCAAGTAGCATGGTGCTTAACACAACCAAATGTACCAAGAGAAGATATTACGTAACGAGTAAGCTAATACACAGACACGCAAAGTACGGAATCAAAGTAACGTTATCCATGCAAACCCAACAGATACAACGGGGCGACAGAAAGTCCGTTGCTACACTAGATTGCCGCGTGGTACAGAAAGCACAGAGTTCGACGGAAACCAAACTTCTTCAAACCGAGGCAGCAGAATTAAAGAAAGGGTTACGAGTGATATCTGCTAAAGCGCGCAGCATACGACAAAAACAAAATGAAATCCACTTCCCTGCCTCGGAGAACCAACCGGATTTAATGGCTTTCACAGAAACCCGGTTATCTTGGGAGATCATAGACCCAGAGTTTCATAGTCCGGGATATCACTTCTCTCAGGCTCATCGCTCTGCAGCGAGGTCTTGGGATGGCATGATCTTGTTCTGAAAGGAGGGCCTCAGGGCTCATCCAGTGGAAGCAATCTGTCACAAGGATGCTGCTTCTGAGCTCCTGTTTGGTCAGCTTCATGAAAGGTGCAGGCCTCTCACAGTCCGTGTCATTTACAGAGTCCTTAGAAGGTCCGAAGCTTGCGTGCTAGATTCAAGAAAGAAGCATCGCAGTGGCAAAGAATGTCTGATAATGAGAGACTTCAATGCAACTGCTGTTAATAGGTACCTGCACCCTTGTGATCTCTCTCCATTTCTTTTTTCTTCTAAACTGTCCCCACCTTTCATCTGCTTTAGCATGTCAAACTACCAACATATCCAGCCCAGTCTCCACACATCGGCATACTCAGATGTCCCCTAGTTGACTGAATTCCAACCGATTCGCAAAAGTACTCACCGTGCAGTTTCCTTCGAGTGGACACGACGTCTCACCATTCATGACCAGTGTATACCGTCGGAAGTACCGGCGTGCGCACTTACACCGTCTGAGAGTCGCAGCTGGTAACCTGGACTTGAGCTTTTCACAGCACCTGGATTTTGACGATGCCTGGACACTTTTATGCCTAAAAATGATATCCCTCATCATCTAAATCGTTCCTATCCCTAACAGGAAATATTTTCAGAGGTCCTTGGAACAATCATGAGTCCAGGATCCTATTGAAACAAATGACGAAGCATATGGGATAAGCTAAGATCAACAAAACTGGACTTGGACTACTCGAACTACAAGACAGCTGGGAACCTTTGCACCCTAACGAAACGCGAGAAACGACAACAGTACAAGCTTTGTTTTGAGGAGAAAACCATAAGCACTCGCATGCTAATTTTCTAGTAGCTGAAAAAGTACAATAGCTGGATGTGGGATACCTGCTTTGTATTCCAGCGAAAACAATACCATAATGCATTAGGTGGATGCAAAAGCTGGGGTCCTGGTCTTACAGTATTCCACTGTTTTTCTCCCATAGAAGCTCCATTGTCCAGTGACTTTGTGCCACCACACGCTAGATCCCCATAGAGATAAGCAACGATTTAGTTGTGAAAGTGTTATTGAGCAAAATCCGAACTCTTCACCAGGTCCCAATGAGTTGCATCCATGGTACCCCAAGGCGGTGGCTCAGCAAATTGATGCTCCTGTTTGCCAAGTTTTTCAACGCTCTCTGGATGCCAGGCGTCTTCCTGGGGCTTGAAAAGTAGGTACTGAGACCCATTTACAAGGTAAATGGTAAAAACGCTGCAAACTATCGTCCGATCTGCTTGATATCTGCAATTTGTAGTCATGAAAAGAATTCCAAAGCGAGCCATAAATCGTCACCTGGAGAAGTTGCATATACTCCCATGCGCACAGCATGGTTTTTGGAAGGTACGTTCCTGTATATCCAACATAGTTTTTACCAGGGGAAAATAGACTAGATCGCTGGACGCCATCAATCGCCTGGATGTCGTTTTTGTTGATTTCAGCCGAGTATTTGACAAAGTCCATCATGGATGTCTCCTTCTCAAACTCCGGGGGATGAGCGTTTCTGGCAAGATCATGCCCTAGATCGCTGACTTTCCAAATGACCGTAACAAGCAAGTAAAGGTGAATGATACCTACTGCAGGCTTGTTTATATGATCAGCGGGGTTCCACGGGGCTCTGTTCTTGGTCCTGAGTTCTTTAAAATCTTCATAAATGATCTTCCATCAGATCTGCAAACTGATTACCTGATATATACTGATGCTCTACAGTTGTGGCTGGAAGTGTCCAAGATTGAAGATGATGACAGGATACAAGCAATGCTAGACTGGTTGCACTGCTGGTCAATAAAGTGGTGGCTACCCATCAATCATGATAATTGTTTTGTCCTCCCAATTTTGCCTCCGATCCATCTGATACCTATCACAATGGGGACTCGATACTTAGGAACGCAACCTTAGAGTGCTTGTTTGGCCAAAGCCATGCACAACCCAGGACACCTTGGAGAAAGTTGCCGCTGCCAAGAGGATGTTCTTTGATACAAGATCGTCTTTCAAAAGGACATCAGAGATCTTCCGACTTCTCTTCAGCTTTCATGTGTGACCGATACTTGAGTACGGATTGCCAGTATCTTATCCTCCCAGAAAAGTCGAATGCGTTCTGTTAGAGAAGGTTCAGCGGCGGGATCGAAACCTATCACGGCACTCCGGAACCTCATCCTTATGCACGTTAGCTTCAGGTGGAAAACACTTCAGTTACTGTGCCGCAATACAAAAAGAAAAAGAACATGAAACAGAGGCATGTCGGCTTACCACCAGTAACGGATGGACATCGTTCCGAAGAGCTAACCTCTGGCGATTGTGCCGCAAAGAAGTCACATTATGTCTAATAATTGAGATCGTCGTTGGAGAGGGAGGAACAAAGAAAGTCACAGCACAAGCGTCATTGAGGTCGGCTCCTAGCCATGTCAACAAGTGCATCCAGCCAAACGTGTTCATCGTCCTTCGGTCCCCAACAAGGGAGCCGAGACGCTCCAACCGAGGACAACTTCGAAGTAAGGGCCTTCATACCTCTTGACCAATTCATCGCTTGGACACCTCTCCTCTTCCTCCAACCACACCCCTGGCGCGCAAACAACGCACGTCGCGGGAGTAGTTGGGCTAGCATGCGCAACACTTGGTCCAGCCATCGGAGCCTGGTGCGTGAAATAACGGTGCTGAGCGGTTCGTTTTTTCTTCCGGGGCCATAAACAAGGCGTCGAACACGCGCGTTGCTCAAACGGTGTTCCCACCAGATATGAGTCAAACTGCGTAGGCACTAGTGGTCGAACGAAACCAGGCTCTTTATGTCTGCTGATCTAATGGGCCAGGTTTCACAACCGTACAGTAGGGGCAAACGTACCACTGCATTGTACACTCTACTCTTTAGAGAGAGATGTCGCGACGGCGCCATAAATGGAGAAGGTTAGCAAAAGCGCCTCGAGCTTTTGCTATACGGTTCGTGATCACACCTTCAATCCAACGGGCGCTGATAGAACTACCTAGAAAGTTAAACTTTTGAACGACTTCTAACTGATCCTCATCATCATCATTATCAGCATCATTACACGTTAGCTGGAGGTGGAAAACACCTCAGCTATTGTGCCGCAATACAAAAGGCAAGAAAAGAAAAAACAAACAAACAGTGGCACGCCCGCTGAGTCCCCAGTAACGGATGGACATCGTTCCGGAGAGCTAACAGCTGGCTGCCGTAAAAGAAAGTCATATTATGCCTAACGATTGAGATCGTGATTGGAGGGGGATGCTAAACAGGAGGTGGATGGACAAAGGAACTCACAACACAAACGCCATTGGGGCCGGCTCCTAGCCATATCAGCAAGTGTGTCCAGCCAAACGTGTTCACCGTCCTTAGGACCCCAGCCAGGCAGTCGGGATGCACCAACCGACGCCAACTTCGAAGTGAGGGTTTTCATTTCTCGCGACCAAGTCATCACTTGGCCTCCCCTCCTCCTCTTCCAACCGCACCGACAACGCGCAAACAATGCACCTCGTGGGAGTCGGTGTGCTGGCATGCGCAAGACGTGGCCCAGCCATCGGAGCCTGGTGCGTGATATAATCGTGCTGAGCGGTTCACTCGCTCTTCCTGCACCAAATACGCGACGTCGAACACGCTCATTGCTCATGCGGTGTTCCCACCAGACATGAGCTAAGCTGCGAAGGCAGCGATGATCGAACGTGACGAGTCTCTTCATGTCTGTCGACCTGATGGGCCAGGTTTCACAGCCATATAGGAGAGTTGAACGGACGGCTGCGTTGTAAACTCTGCCCTTCAGGGCGAGAGTAATGTCGCGTCTGCGCCACAGGTGGCGGAGATT